ACATAATCTTGGGCTGCATCAAGAGAACACTCTCTTCCAGGAAGGATGAGGTGACTGTAATCTTCCTTGGTCAGACCATACCTGGAGTTCTGTCTTCAGTTCAGCTCATCCCGTTTTATGAAGGACAATTATAGGCTGGAGAACATCTAGCAGAGGGCAAGAAGGATAATGAAAGACCTCAGAGTTATGCCATTTGAGGATTTTGTTGTTGTCCAGTTGTTTTTCAGTCACGACCAACTCTTTGTGACCCCATTTGGGGTTTTCTTGGAAAAATACTGATGTGACTTGCCATTTCCTTCTCCAGCTGCATTTACAGATGAGGAAACTGAGGCAAACAGCGTTAACTAACTTGCCTAGGGTAACACAACAATTAAGTATCTGAGGCCAGACTTGAACTCAGGAAGACGAGTTTTCCTGACTTCAGGCCCAATACTCTATCCACTAATCCACAAGTTGCCCTACTGAATATAGTATGCTCTAATTAATCACTAAGTATATTCCTATTTCTGGATCTATGAACAACTTATTGTATGGTCGTGGACTAACTACCTATATTTCATCTGCTTTTATATTCACATTTGTAACACCAGGGAGGGCAATGATTCCCAGAATCCCAGGATTAGATGGGACCCTGAAGTCACACCAGCCCATATCTGAGCAGGAAACCTCTCCCCTTTCTTCATGTATTTTATTAATAGTATCCTTGCTATTAAATACTTTACAGAATTGGTAGACTATGACACTGCCATTCTATGTCAGTGGGTGATTGAGCACGCTAATCATTTAATAAAAGGTAAGGAGGTAAATTTCTGCAAATATCAACTGCTATTACTAATAAAATCATGTTTACCCACAGAACAGAAGTTAATCTGAGCAACTGATGTTGAAACAGATGGAAAGAAACTCCTCATTACTCAGTTTGGTGCATGGAGCTTGATACATGGCTGGGACTCAGTGAACACTTGCTGACTTCTTTGAAGGATGAGGCCCTGGTTGGGATGCCTGTTCTATGTGCCAGGCTGAATAAATCAAAGCAAAGGAATGTGCAATTTTGCCCCCCCAAAGACTAAGTTCAGTTGGCACTCTTGAAACATTTTAGCTCATTTCTCCAGGTTTTGACAGTTCCTGGAAATTGTTAGGTACATAACTTGCACTTAGTACTAACATTACCCAAAATATAATAAGAAACAAAAACAATGGGGAGCTTGGGGGATAATACTAGAAATCGCCTTGGGCAGAAGTTTCCACAGTTTCTAGTTGAAGACTTTCTGACATCTGGATGGATTGGAACTACTTTTTAAAAAAAATTTAATAGCAATTTCCTTTTGCTTTAGGCTCTACCATCAGTTGTTTTTTTCTCCCTCAGCTGGCCCTTGGCCCTATCTCTGTCTTTCCTTCCACTTTGTAAATGACTACACCTTCTCAGTTTTCTCTAGACCATACTTCTTCTCCCTTTTCTTGATCTCCATGGGAAAGTAACCCTGAGGCTAACATTTCCTTAAAAAAAAAAAGAAGATAAATTAAGCAATTAAACAATAAACATTTATTACATATCTCCTATGTACCTGGCAGTGTGGTATAGGAGACCAGGAGCTAGGAAGACGGGGTTTTAAGTTCTACCTTTGACACATGCTGCTTGTGTGACCTTGGGCCACTCTAGTCTAAGACTGTAAGTTTTACAGAAATTGCCCATCCCCATTGGATGAGATGAGTTCCCTCACCTTGGAGTTGCCTATGTTGTTATTTGTCCTTCGTTCTCAAAGAGGACCACGACATCAAGGAGGTGATGCCATGACATGCAAGTGAATTGGATTTAAGTGAGGGAGGGCTGTGCAAAGTCACCAGCCTCACTTTCTCCTCCAGAGCCATCTGGGTCCAATGGCCAGATATAGCTCAGGATGACTGGGCATGGCCCTGGATGCAGTGGGAGGCCTTGGCCTTTTTAAGTCTGTCCATATCCCTGTGGACCAGGTACTATGCCAGCTTCAGGAAAACAACAAATGAAACAGTTTCACTTGAAATGATGGCCTAGAAAGCAGGTATTTCTCAAGAAAGGATTTTGTTTGTTTGTGGGTTTTTTTTTTTGGTACATCATAGGAAAAAATAGAACTGTTTTCATTTAGCTCAAATTAAAGTGGAAACAATGTCTGGGTTGAGTCGGCACTTGCAGAATGAAGAGTACAATATTTACTTTCTCTTATTGAAAGATGGTGGCCCTGAGCATGTGGCTATGTGTGTATTCAGAGATGCTTAGAACATCTATTATGCAGGAACCATTGGAACAGATAAGTATTTCCTTGAATACAGTAGGAGCTCAAAAAATGTTTGAACCACATTGAATATAGGCAAACTCATACCTGAGCAATTATTGTCATTAACTAGCATCCCTGATATTAAATAAATGCTTCACAGAATCCCTACACTGAAGTCCCACTTTGGTTCCTGGCTGTTCCACAAACAAGACATCCATCTCTCAGGTCTGGGCATTTTCTCTAGCTGTTCCCCGATGCCTGGAACCCTGTCCTTCTTCAACTCCATTTGCTGACTTCCTTGGCTTCTTTTGTGTCTAAACTAAAATCCTAGCTTTTACAGGAGGCCTTTTCCAACTCCTCTTACTTTCAGTGCCTTCCCTCTGTTATTATTTCGTGGTTATCCTGTAAACAGCTTGCTTTGCATATATTTGCTTGTTGCCTCCCCCATTAGATTGTAAGCTCCTTGAGACAGGAGCTGTCTTTTGCCTCTATTTGTATCCCTAATATTTAGCACAGTACCTGATATAGAGTAGGCACTTAATAAATGTTTGCCTCATCATGATATGGAGGTCTTAGGGTCATAGGATCATAGATTTAAAGTCAGAAGTAACCTTTGAGGTCATTAAGACCACACTCCTCATTATACCGATTAAGGAACTGAGGTCTAGAGAGTATAAGTGACTCTCCTGTGGCCACACAGTGTGTAAAGTGCTTTGGAGAGAAGGGACCTGGGTTCAAATCCCATCTCTGAAACTGTACCCATATGACCTCAGGCAAGACACTTAATCTCCCTAGTCCAGGGGTAGGGAAGCTGTGGCCTTCTAGGTCCTCAAGCTGACTGAATCCAAACTTCACAGTACAAATCCCCTTGATAAAAAGATTTGTTCTGTAAAACTTGGACTCAGTCAAAAGGTAGCACCCAAGGACCTAGAAGGCTACACCTGGCCTCGAGGCTGCAGGTTCCCTACACCTGCCCTAGTGCCTAGACTACAGTTATCCACATCTGTTATGTGGATATACCGTGGGGGGGGGGCAGCTAGGTAGCACAGTGGATAAAGCTCCCGCCTTGGAGTCAGGAGGACCTGAGTCCAAATCTGACCTCAGACACATGACACTTACTAGCTGTGTAACCCTGGGCAAGTCACTTAACCCTGATTGCCTCGCCAAAAAAAAAAAACATGGATATACTGTGGATATATATGGATGTATGACTACTGTAATCCACATCTGTTCAATATTCTGGATGGCTTCCAAGGTTCCTTCCGGTTCTTGGTCTATGATGCTATGAATGGAAAGAATCTTGCAAGAGAACTGAGCTCTAGTGTTGGTAATGTTGAAAAGAGTGCTAGACTTGGCATTCGGAGACCCGAGCTGGAAACCTAGGTGGTACACATCTGTGTGACCATGGGCAAATCACCTGTTCTCCCTGAGCTGCTGTTTGCTCATTTGGAAAGTGGAGATTATAAGACTCACAGGGATTCTAAAAGGACAACGCTTCACGAATCTGAATGTCCTGCATAAATGTCAATTATTAATATTATTATTAGCTGGGTGACTCTGGCAAGTGACCTCCTGGGCCTCAGTTTTCTCATTAATACTGACTGATATCACCCTGGGTAAGTCACTTAATTCCTCTGCTCTAGGCGAAACATTAAGCTGTAAAGAAGGTGCTGACCTGCACTGGTAGACAGAGGTCCCCTCACCTGGAAGTTCTCTATACCAATGAAATGATAGCTCCAGTCCCTATCTCTAACTCTGAGCACCCAGATATATTCTTGAGACTGTGACCTTACCTTGTAGTTATTAAGAGAAATCAAGTGCTCTGGGAAATTGTCATTCAGGTCTTAACTCCTTGAGTGGGAACATCGTTCTAAGAAGGGCTATACTACCCTAACAAGGACGAGAAGGGAACGTATAACTGGGAGCCATGAAGATGCCATTGATCTCAGAAAAAGGCCACACAATGACAAACTCATCCACATAAAGGTCTAAATGACTGATAACAGAATATTAGCTCAAAGGTCTGAGATACCAGAGAGAGTATGTGGGGCTAGAAACCTAAAATATGGGGTAACTGAAGTAGAGGAAAGGGGACTGAAAAGTGAGGCTACAGTTGCCAAAGATGAACTTGATCTATTTCACAACTTTGCCTTAGATGAACTTTGCCTATCTTGTTTTTAATTTATATCAATAATAACAGACATTTTTATACCATTTTAAGCACTTTATACACATTCTCTCATTTGGTCCTCACAACAACCCTGTGAGGTAGGTAATATAGACATTCTTTTTTACAGATGTGGAAACTGAGTCACAGAAGTTAAGTGACTTGCACATAGTCATTCAGTTAGAGAGTGTCCAAGTTAGGAATTGAACTCAGATCTTATAGTACCTCATCCACTTCACCAATGGCACTTAAATAAGTATGGTTCAATATACGGCAGGGGTCAATTCTTCATAGCATGGGGCCACAAATCATAGAATCAATGTCACATCTGCCTCATATAATTTGTAACGAGAATCCCACCTCCCCTACCATGGCATTTGCAACCACCAGTAACCTTACGTTAAAAACCTTGCCTTCTCTTGATAACACTCCTTTGAGGTATGACGATTCAGGCATTGTTCTTCCTTCCAGGGAGAAGCAGGTAAACCCAGTTAGTGTATTATTTGATTAGCTCATATCAAAGCAAAAAGCAAGAAACATTCATAGGAATCAGGTGAACACTGCTATATGCTGGCCCCTACCATGTTGCTCTGAGACTGTGTGGCCCCATACATGGTGATTCCATTTGTCGGTGCTGCTGGCTGTGGTGTGTCCGGCTGTATAAATCCTCTTCTATCAATTAGACTGAACGAGAGAAGAGAGAAAAGGTAGGGAGAATGAATTGAAAACACGAAAGATGTTCAGAGATGTTTCTGATTTTACTTCTCTCTAAAGACTTTCTGGATTACAGCATGGTTGTCTGCTCAGGGTGTGTGTGTGTGTGTGTGTGTGTGTGTGTGTGTGTGTGTGTGTGTGAGATCTGATTTCCAAAAGACTCGTTCCCAGAACATTGGCTACCAGATCAGGATTTATTTTGTATACATAGCTATTAAATATGAAGGAGTTTTAATCAAAGTCAGGAAGAGTAACATATGTATGGTTGAAATAATGAAACTTTCAAGTATAAAAGTTCACAGGACAACTTCATACAAATAGCGTGGAAAGGCCTGTTGGTGGAGACTTTGGTCTCTTACTATTACTACGTGTCGGGCACTGTTCTAATATTAATATAGACTCACCTTAATATAGTGCTTTAAGTTACACAAAAATCCTGTGGGGTGTATGGGGCAGTGTGGTTTGGTACAAAGGAATGGTGAGTATGGAGAAAGAGGACCTGGGTAGATCCAGACTCTACTATTTACTATCTATGTGACCTTGGGCAAGTCACTTTGCCTTTGGGCTTCAGTTTCTTCATCTGCAAAATTAAGATATTTAACTAGATGACCTTTAAAATCCCTTCTAAGGCTAAATCTGTGATCCTGTGAATATCTCCATTTTGCAGATGATGAAATGGAGGCTCAGAGAGGCTATTCAATTTGCTTGTGGTCACAGAGCTGGCAAGTACTAGAACCAGAATCTGAGCCCAAGGTTCCTACCTCAGGTAGGCTACCTTCCTTTCCAGGCTCATCCTTGACTCATCAGACTTTCTCTGCCATGTCCCTACTTGAGTACCTTCTGTCCTCTTTTTCCCCACCCCCATTACTTTCCAGCCTTTCATGTGTTGTCTTCCATCATTAGAATGTAAGCTCCTTGAGGGCAGGTACTGTCTTTCTGCTTGTATTTGTATGCCCAGTGCCTGGTGCATAGTAAATGCTTAATAAATACTTCTTGACTAGCTCAGCGTTTTTCCCAATACTTCATACCAAGTGGTATTTTTCCACTTCATTCCAACATAATCATACATTTACTCTCTAGAAAATCACTTTTGAAACAACTGAAAAAGCTGCCACATACATATTCGGATGTTAATGAAGAATGGAATTATGGGACTTTAAGATTTGTTTTCAAATGAAGAAGGTACCCTGCACCTATAATTTCAGATCTCTTAAAAAAAATACTGGGGTAGGGAAGGGCTTTTAACTGCTTATCATGCCAAGGTTTTGATCTAAAGGTGCCAAGGAGAGATTCTTGAATTCTTAGGAGGGGAACCAGGACAGTAAGGGGACTGAAGGTGCTATTTGAAGAATACTTGAAGGAACTGTTGCCTGAAGAAGAAAGTTAAGAGTGGCAGGATAGCCATTTTCAGGTGTTTGAAGAATTGTCACACAAACAAATAAACAAAGACTTCTATTTGTTCTGTAGGTCTGCACAAATACCTCATTGAGAGGTTATGAGATAACTAGAGGATCAAATAAGGGCATTGTGGGTCAGTAAGGAGAAAGGTGAAGGAAAATTTTTTTAAAAAGTAGGAGGATAGACAGGTAACCCTCATTCATTGTAGCCTAAATTTAGCTCTGCACTAGACCTCGTTCTGATTTGCATTTTTAAGCTACCAAAGTATTTGATGGCGAGAGACAGAGAGAGAGAGAGAGAGACAGAGAGAGAGAGAGAGAGAGAGGGAGAGAGATTTCGTGTGTGTGTAGGGGTGATAACTCAAGAAAGGGGATTTGTAATGCTTCATTGGAGGAGTACTCTTCCCTCCTGTCCGGACTATGTGAAAAGTGTCAAAGATGGTCAGCTGATAGGGCAGTGAACAAGTGAAAGTAGCCCAGCTGTGTTAGCTTCCTCTTTAGATGGCAAAAGCCCCATGACATTCTAGGGTCTGAGTATTCTCTGGCTCCAAGATGGAGTGGTAATGGGCAATAATTATTGTTCACTGTGTACACACACACATTTCCCCCCCTCATTTTCAAAAATATTTTGTTTTAGGGGCATCATTTATATTCCAGGGGCAACCTATATTACAAACTGGCATATAAAAAAGCTACAATTAATTGCTTCGCTACGCTTAGTGCTGGCTAAATCATTAGAGGAGATCATGACTCAGCACTTGGCACAGTGCCTGGCCACAGTAAACATTTAATAAATGCCACCCTACCGACTGACTGATTATAACCTGTTTGAACATCTAAAACCTAAAGAAACTCTCTGTGTACCTGACAGCGCTACAAAGGATGGCTAGAGCGCCTTGAAAGCACAGGCTGTCTTTTATCCTTTGTACACCCACAGCTTAGCACAGTGCCTGACACAGCAGGGACTTAATAAATGATTGAAAAAGCAGTTGGAATTGTATAACCTAAACTGGAGAAAGGAAGCTTCTTGAGGGCAGGGACTGTATTTTATTCTTATCTCTATCTCTTAACATTTTTCATAGTGCCATGGAAGAGTAAGCATTTGGTAACTAACTGGCTGAATTTGTTAAATTTAAAAGCTTAACTATAGCAGATTCAGAGCTTCAAATACATGCCGGATTGGTGTAATGACATTGGAAACTCACCATTTTCCATCTCTACTCTGAGAAGAGTAAGAGTAGAATTAATTCAATGTGAAGGAAGTTTAGGTTTGATGTAAAGACTCTTCTTGGAGTCAAGGCTGTTGGATACTGGAATGGTTCACCAAGACATGTTGTTTCCCCTGACTGTTAGGGATAGAACTAGCATTCATGGCGGTGGGGTAGGGAAGAGGAGAGTGGGATAGGGAAAGCTTTAATGACATGGCCTCTAATGATACTTTCTAGTCCTATGGCTCTCTCTCATTGGTGGTTATTTTCAGTCCATCAGGAAGTAGAGAAAAACCTGATGAAAATATTCACAGTAGAAATTCTCAGCTTCTGTTTACAACAGATGAACCAGTTTAATGACTTCATGTTATTGATAGCACATTCTGATTCTGTCCACATACATCTAAAAAGGCAAGTATAACCAGTGGAAAATCTCAGCATCCAGTCATGGCTCACGCTTCCTGTGTTGGAATAAGGTAGACTTCCCCCCTGGGATTAGTTCAGAGTCTTTGGAAAGGGGTGAACTCTGGTAAGAACATAGGGAAGTTTTCAGGATTCTATGATAATATTAAAGGCAAAAATCTCTGGGCTGTTTTGCTTTTATTTAAAAACAAAGTCATCCTACTCCCTACCACCACCTAAGTCTGACCACATTCTCTGGGTATTGTTATTGACTTCTTGAGTGTCTGAAAGTCCACCCATAAATCAATTTGGCAATTTCATGGACTTTATTCCAGACAAGTTCTTGCTCCTTATGACAAAACAATAACACTTTGGAAAAGACTGATGATAAAAGCCTTTGCCTCTCTCTCTTTAAAATGGATGGAGGGATTTGGTTCTAAGAAAAATTTGAAAAGAATACTCTTTCCTCTTCTATTTTCTCCAAGACAACCTCCTTCTCATGTTTTAAACAGCTGAGAAAATAGAATAGACACACTTGAAATCAATCCTATTCTTAATAACCAAGTTTAAAACACACACACACACACACACACACACACACACACACACAGAGCCAAAACCAGCCAAAGGCTTAAACTGAACCCACTTATAGAAGAATTAATTTTTGTTATTACAAAATTAGATCTGTAAAGTAAGCAACATGATTGACTACAAGTATTGAGCTAGGAATAAGGGGAAAAAAAGATTTTTATAAAAGGAGAAATTTTATAAATACTTTCCCTAAAGACAATCCCAGTTCTCCTTTAAAAGGAAAAAAAATTTTGGAGATGTGATAGATGATACCTGTTGAGTTTTTTTTCCTATTACAAATATGAGAGAAAACCCAAGTCATAAAATAGTGAAGATTTCCCAACATATTCCTGTGCATTATTCTTGCCTAATCAGTAATTCCCAACTGATGCTCAGAACTAACCCTTCTAAGGAGTACAGACAGTTAGTTATCTAGACCTTTGGGGTCTTGTCCACTAAAACTCTAAGCTACTTTCTTTCATCCTCAATTCTTCATAGCCCTCTGATTATCTATAAGTATGTCATCTGAAAAATATTACCTGGTTATATTTAGATTGTTTAATATAACAGTCTAATACGATAGAACTGGAAGAGATTTACTTTTTTTTTTTAAATTCAGGATAATAATAACAATATAAAAACATAAAATACAAAATATAAAACCCCCTAAACAAACAAGAACTGGAAGAGCTCTCATGGCCATTTGGTCCAATTTGTATTTGACAAAGAATTTCCTTTCCCACACATCCAACAACTGGTCCTCTAGTCTTTGCTTGAGGACCTCTAGAGACAGGGAGCTCACGACCTCCAAGGAAGCCTATTCTACTCTGGAATAGCTCCAATTATTAGGAAGTTTTCCCTTTTCTTCAAACCTAAAATTTTCAACTTCTGCATATTGCTCATGGTTCTGACTGACCTTCTGGGGCCAAGCATAACAATTCTAATTCCTTTTCCATGTGACATCCCTGCGAAAACATGAAGATGGTTATCATGTTCCCCTAGGGTCATCTCTAATCTAGGCTAAATATTCCCAGTTCCTTCAACCAGTCCTGATGTGATATGAACCTGAGACCCTTCACTCTTCAACCTTTGCCCTCCTCTAGGTACCCTTTAGCTTAAAATCAGGACTCCAAGCTATACATGGATTGAAACTATTGTTAATATTCTTGTTTCAGAAGAAATTACAATAGAGTCAACTTTCAATTATGCATATCAATGAAATAGTCCAGATGATTCAAAATAGTGTATAACTCAAAAAATATCTGTCATATGAATGCATCGTTAATTCCTTCTGTTGTATAAAATACCTCTTTACCCAACAATGTTTTCTACCTTAATAATAGTTGGTTGACACTCCATGAACTCACACCAATTGATCATGGAGCTTGTTGACTGAGAAGCGTAACAGACATAGGGCTGGCCTAACTCAGAGGAAAGCAGATATTTTCCCAATGTCTTTTGATGTAACTTGCATTTTTATCATATTCAGAGGGGAAAATGGAAGATGTGCCTGTGTGCTGATACTTTTAGAAACCTTATCTAAAGACCCAAGTTTATGGGATTTGTCAGTCTAGTGTCCCATCCTACCCCACCACATACATAGGCCATCAATAGATGAATGTTGATGTTGGAGGTTATGGTGAACCTAATGGAAGTAGTCCATGAAAACCAGTGCTAGGATTAAAAATCAGCTGGGGAACACAGTGGTTCCCTAGTGTCTTAAACCTGTACCATTGACTTCATTCCCTAATATTCTAGGTCATACAGATCTCTCTTTTCTCTGATATCTATCAGCATTTGCATTCTGTACCATATTGTACTGGATTGTTTGCTGTCTCTTGTGGTTTTCCAATAATTTAATGTAGATTAATCTTATCTCTTCAACCAGATGCTAAGTTTCTTCTGCCCTGGGGCAACTTCTTAACATAAGCACAGTGCTAGGCACATGGGAGGAAATCAATACTTGTTGACTTCATGATTAATTACATCGTGGGGCCTTACTAGGGCTAAGGGGCTTAGTTTTTATGTTTGAACTGATTCTTCAAAACAAACAAGCAAACAAAAAAAAGCCCCATTCCATTTTCTAAAGCCATTTCATAAGAATTTTATCTACATCAGAAAAAAACAAAGTAGGAATCTCACAATCATCTAGTGAATTTAACTGGAACAGACAGATGACCTGGGTAATTTATGTCTTTAAAAAAAAATCTGCCTTTGGTTGTCTACTTAGATCAAAGTCTCCAGATGATCAAATCACTATTTCACTTTGCCCTGTACAGCTACAGCTCAAGGATTTAATTTATTTACACATAAAGCCTGAAATCTATAATGAAATCATCCCTTTCAGAGGACATGACTTTTTGCAAAGCTTACCTTGGAGAGATAGGCCCACAGAGGGCAGCACAACAATTTGTAATGATGTTTCCATAGCTGTAGGGATTATAATTTTCTTTACCTCTTTTATTTGACCAAGATCCTTTAATCTGAAAGACATGGAGAATTTATCACATGCTATTCCTTTTATTGAAGTCACAATTTAAGCAAATTGGCTTTCAGGGCATTGCTTATAGATATTGCTAAACATTTCATAGATATTGCTATCTCCATAAGAGAAACCAAGAAGTATACTTTCTCCAAACCTTGGAATCCTCGATTTTCAATTTTGAACAAGTGAGTTAGGTAAGGTAGAAAGGGACTTTATAAAGAGCTTTCACCTTATATTCCTTCCATATAACATTTAAAGGTAAAAAGAATATTTTTTTCCAGCTTGCATTTACTGCTCTGAAGCAATCAATAAATAGATAGATGGCAGATAGAGTTGATATAGCTCCCCAAAGTGATTGACTTTGTTTGACTTCCTGTTTACAGGAAGTAATTTATATACTGGAAGAATTCTGGCTCATATTATTGTCCCAGTAGTCTGTTTTGTAACATCTGTCTAAGAATTACAAAGAATGTCTCTTGTGGGTTCCAGTGATGAAGTTCACGGAAAATACACAGGATGATAATTCCAGAATTAATGTATCATGTTTTAATTTTTGAAAGCTTATTTTATATCTCTATCAATTTTCACATCTTCTTTTAGGCTAACCTGGTAGATTCTGTTTAACTATTTTTGTCATATGTTTATAAATACTTCCATAATATATTTTTTTAAAAAGTTAGTGTTCACCCTGGCTTGAGAAATATCTTCCAAAATTACTTTTCAATGCCCTTATTGTAACATCTTTCAGGATTCTGAGAAAGATGAACTTGGATAAGAGGTTTAATTACAAATAGAAACAAGACAACCCATCTCAGCATTTAAACAGAGGTATAGAACAGAGATGGAATTCACATCTGTATTGTGATGTTACATAGCAGTAATCTCTCCATTTAAATAGATGCAAAGTTGGTTTTGTTTGTTTGTTTGTTTTTATATTAGACATCTGATTTCACTGACATAGGATACTCTGAATAAGGAAACTCCATCCACCAATGTATATTGGCTCACATTCCCCAACCTCTAGTCATAAAGAGTTGCCTAAAACACTAACAACTTTCCAAGGGTTACAGAGCCAATATGTGTCAGAAGCAGGATTTGAACACTACCAGGATGACCTTTTTTTCCATTTGTCTATGCTTCCTCTGAGATGTATCTCTCAGACAATGATTTTTAAATTATAAAGCCAACTTCCTCCCCCTCCCTTTGGTGCTCTGTATTAGGATCTTCTGGCCAGACCTTGGGGTGAACTTACTTATACATGAGTACAAGATAATGGTTAGGGATTCAAATGTGATATAACAGGGAACAATGTAAAATGATCTTTTAATAGTTCCTGTTTGTTTCAAAAGGAGCAAAGTTTAAGTAGCCTGTACTGTGTGACCCTGGGCAAGTCACTTAACCCTGTTTACATCAGTTTCCTCTTCTGTCAAATGAGCTGGAGAAGGAAATAGCAAATCACTCCAGTATCTTTGCCAAGAAAACCCCAAATGGGGTCATGAAGAGTTGGACACGAGTGAAACCACTCAATAACAACAACCCCATAGAGGCAAAATCAAAATCACCCGTACTTCCCTATCTCATTTGCTAATCAACATAAGTAAACATGCACATTTCCCATAAAGTCACTTACATCTTCATTTGTAGTTTGATTGGAGCTGATCAAATATGTGTGGAAACCTGATAGACCAACAATAGACCAAACAGAAAAGAAACACACCACGGCTTCCAGCACAGTGATTTAAAGTCAAGGAAGTAAATTGGGAGGAAGATGCAAAATTCAGACAGCTTAAGATGTTATGTAAAAAATGAGGATTTAAAAGTTTAACACCAACACAGACATGCATTTTTTTTCCCACTGCAAAACTTTGAGCCCACAATCATATTTATTATTCAATCAAGGGCATCTTACTCAGTATTGCCATACCTGGAATAGTACATCAGCCTCCTCCTGTACTCCAGGGTCTCTCTACTTTAATACATTTTTCATATATATCACTACCAGACTAAAATAATTTTGATCATGTCACTCTTGCCCTAAACCTTTTATTAGCTTCCTACTATGTCAAGTGTAAACTCCTCTGCTAGGTTTCCAAGGCTCTTAATTTGATCCTCTTATAATTATCTAACAATATTGGTTGTCTGACACTCACCCTTTGCTCTTCTCTGGGCAGCCTTTTCACTGCCCTGTAAGTATGCTATGTTCACTTCTGCCTCTGTGACTTTATTCATGCTGGTTGTCTCTTTCCTCAATTTGTTTCAAATCCTGGCTATCTTTCAAGATCCAGATCAAGCAAATCTTCTTCATAAAGCCTTCCCTGATAATTTTGGATCTTATCTATTTCCCTCTCTAACCTACTACAATCATCTAGTCCTGGGCACTTGCAGTAATGACAGTTTATATTATATCAGCTGGCACATAATCATATCGGGTCTTGTCTCATTCACTGTGGCATCACTTTTGTTAGTTTTTTTTTCCCTTTCTAACTAAACTCCTTGAAGGTTGGAATTTGGCACCTGGCCTAGGATGCAGGTTTTCAATCCTTCTCCCCACCATTTTACTTATTTATTTTATATGTGTGTCCTACTTCCTCAAACCCTATTTGAATGATCAAAAACCACCAATAAAACCCTCATAAAAATATATATATACATATATATATATACACACACATATATATACACCATCAAAAAAGATCCCCATATTGACCATAGCAAAAAAAATTTTTTTAAGTATCTCATTTTGTATTTTAAGTCCATCATTTCACTAGCAGGAAGTGGATACCATGTGCTTTGCCCTCAGTCATTTGATCTCTGTCTCAGTTTCCCTATCTGTAATATAAGCATAATAATAGCACCTACCTCCCAAGGTTGTTGTAAAGATAAAATGAGATAATATTTTTAAAGCTCTTTGCAAAAGTTAAAGTGCTATATACAAACTAGCTATCATCATCATCATCATCGTTTATCATTGCATGATTTCAATTTTGCCACTGCTATTAACAGTATGACCATGAGCAAGTCCATTATTAATAACTCACATTTTTATAGTGCTTAAAGATTTTTAAATCACTTTCTTCACAATAACCCAGTAAGACTACTTCAGTAGTAACCTAGTAAGCTACTTGATGTATTAGACCCTCATTTTACAGATGAGGAAACTGAGCCTCAGAGAAGTGAAATGTCTTGCCTAGAGTCATGAGGTAGTGGGCAGAACTGGGATCCAGACCCAAGTCTTTCCAAATTCCAAAACCAATGCTCTTTTTACTACATCTCCCTGCCCCTACCTCTTTGCATCTGAGTTTCCTAATCTGTAAAATGAGGATAATCCTAATTGTACAAGACACCTCACAGGACTGTTGTGGGCACAAACTCTGTAAATCTTAAAGCACCAATTGGGCAGTACCCTAGCACAGTGCTCTGCACCTAGTAGGTGCTCATTACTTATCGATTTTCTGAAAAATAACTGAACAATAATTGGACGACGATAACTCCTTTCTCTTTTGAGGGCTTGCTGCCTGCCCTTCGGCCACAAGAACTTCTGATCCACTTCAGTCATCTAGACCAACAACACTTACATCAACAACAGGGAGCACAGAGTCCTATGTACCCAACAGTTTATATTTTCAGTTCCAGAACTAACTTTGGCAAGACTCTCAATCATAAATTCTAAATTCTGCTCCTGAAATCTCATTTGCTCAGAGGCTAGTATCCACAGATTCCTCCAAAGATTAGATGCTATGGCTATCTACAGGAGAATCCTTATGCTAATTATAGTTGAATGCAAGCCTGGACCATGGCATGTGAAGCCAACCAACTTTATTCCTTGTCTCTTCCCTCCCTCTGCTGAATCTTGTCCTTATTTAGTGATCCCTTCCCTCTCATGAGGCACCCAGGACTCTCTACTCTTCAGGTCTTTTCTGTTAGGAGCACGAGTATCTAGCTATGTCCTTGCCACTTTATTTTTTATTGGGTTCCTCTTTCTCTTTCCCCTCCCACAGTCCATTGCATCATCATCATCATCATCATTATAATTTTAATCCACTGCATTATAAAAGAGGATGCTTGGAAGGAGAACCCTAAGGAAACATCTATAACGGTGGCATTTCAGACAGCATAGTGCCAGGGTAGGGTATGTATTTTTGATCTGCATTGGGACAGGTTCCAGAACTCTCTCATATAATAATTTTCTCTAAGATTACTTTCCATTTAAATTATACCTCTGTATGTACAATTTTTTTTTTTACATCTTGTCCTCCGCATTAGGATGTGAGCTCTTTGAGGATAGGTACCATATTTTGGCCTCTCTTTGTATCCCTTTCACGTAGCACAACACCTGACACATAGTAAACACTTAATAAATGCTTGTTGATTGAATACATGTGGGATAATTTAGTGATAGGGCTAGCTCTGGGCTTCCGACAAGCAAGAGAGAAGCCCCTGGGACTCCTCATTGCCTGTCACTTCAGAGGAAGTCTAGCAGTCTACAGGATGTGTCTGTAACATGTAACCCAAAGGAGAAGAAGTCTGGCGTTCTCTACAATACAAGTTAAATCAATAAAGAAATAGGACTGTAGTGATTTGAAAAGACAGGAGAGCTCTTCAATCCCATAAGTGTTTAAAAATTCTGTTTCTCAGAGAAAATAATATACACCATGGATCTGGAAGTTTAAAACTACAATATGCATCCTCATCAATAAATTACAGGCCAGAGAAAATAAATATTCATGACTTCCTAATGTGTCTAAGGAGAAAAGCTATATATCAACTTATAAAACATTACCATTGATTTTTTCCCAGGGTTTGAGATTATTCATATTTAGTTCAGAAAAAGGAATAACTTACTCCTTGAAATTTCATGCCTTGCTATGCCACTAATAGCTGAGCATTACCAACATGGATGGGGGGAGGGGTGGTATACAAAGCAAGGAGCAGAAATGAATGACTGCCTGCTCTACCAGCTCTCATTCTATATCAGGACACACAGGTGGGAGGCATTATCTGCTCTAATCTGGAACCTCACTTGTCTGGATGTCAGTCAGTTTATCAGTCAATTTTGTTGTCGAGTTGTTTCAGCCCTGTCTGACTCTTCATGACCCCATCTGGGAGTTTTCTGGGGCAAAGAAATTGGAGTGGTTTGCCATTTCCTTCTCCAGCTTATTTTTACAGATAAGGAAACTGAGGCAAACATATTTAAGTGACTTGCCCAGGGTCACATAGCTATAAGCATCTGAGGCTGGATTTTAAATTAAGTCCTCTGGACTCAGGGCTGTACCATCTAGTTGTCCAATCAGTCAATAAGGACTTATTAAGCCCCTACTATGTGCCAGTAGTATTATGCTAAATGCTAGGATACAGAGAAAGACAAAAGACAGTACCTGCTCTTAAGGAGCTCACATTCTAATGGTGGAAATGATGTACAATCAAAATATATACCAGGTAAACTGAAGATAATCAATAGAGGAAAGGTCCTAAGATTGAGAAGGACTGGGAAAGGCTTCTATGAAAAGGCAGGATTTTGTCTGGGACTTGAAGGAAGCCAGGGAACACAAGAGGCAGAGATGAAGAAAGACAGTTTCAGGCAAGGGACAGGGCCAGTATGGAGTCAGGAGATGAAATGTTTTCTATGAGAAACCACAAAGAAGTCAATGTCACTGGATCTTAAGAATATATAGAAGGGTTTTAAGGTGGAAAAAGACTGAAAAGGTAAAAGGGGAGCCAGGTTCTAAAGGGTTTCTAGAAAATTTAGATATCTAGAAGAGGACAGAACCCAGAGGTTTTTTTTTTTAAAAAAAAAGCATCTCTGACCATGATAAAAGAACTTTTGGCTGGCAAGCAGTGATTAAAAAATGAGATGCAAAACTGAAATTACACCTGAAACTTAACCCACTCCATGCAAGCTGAGAAATGGAGAATAAACAGGAAGAAGAAAGAAAGAAAAAAAAAACAAATGGTAGAAAACCAGTGTAGTAAATAGAAGAAATAGTGGCAGAGATCAGATGTAGCAGCAGCAAAGATTAGAGCCAGGGAAAGAGGTGGCGGCGGGAGACTGATGTCTTTGAGACAACTTATTTATATCTCCATAATATCTCTTAAGTCTATCTCCTCTTTACACACATAGCTACCACCATAGCTATATATTGGTTTATCATCGCCAATTTCCCAACTGGTTTCTCTGCCATGTCTCTCCCTCATTCCAATTCATCTTCCACTTCCAGCCGAAGTGCTGGTCTGACTATTCCACCCCCTACTCAGTAACATCTTCTTACTCCAGCATCAAATATAAAGTATGCTTTTGGCATTTAAATCTCTTCACAATCTGGTGTCCCATTTTATCGTTTTCAGCTTTATTACGCACTATTACCCTTGACATGCTCTAAAAACCAGCTGTTCCCCACCCACGATGCTATCCATCTCCCATCTCTGTTTCTTCCCACTGCCTGGAATGGTTTCCTCTCCTTACTTCCAACTCTTAAGACTTCCTGGTTTGCTTTAAGACTTGGGCCACCCCCTTCTGTGTAAATAGGCTTCTGTGTAAATAAACTTCAAGCTTTTTAATCCAATCAATTAAGTGCGTGCTAGGTACTGTCCTAGGTGCTGGAGATAAAAAGAAAACAGATCCTGCCCTTAGGGAGCATACACTCCATTAGGGAGCACATTATTTTCACTTTGTTTTTGGTGACTTTTCCCTTTTGTTCTGTTTCTTCTTTCATAACATGACTAATGTGGAAATTTA